GCATAGTTAATGAGAGTGGCAGCATCTAACAAGCAGCTAAAGGCCTGCCAGGTCCAAGTCTCTCCTGTACTTCCACTAGCAGCACATACATAATGAAAACAGAGCTCTATTCTTCTGTTCGGAGAGATTTTCTTCTTTTCACAGCCAGTCTAACATGAGTGCTCAATTACAGGCAAGAGTTCTCTCCAAGTAACACAGGCTTCTCTGCAGTGAGGCGTGTGTGTTTCATTGTCTTATTTTATATGAAATGATAAAATACATTATAATATGCTCATAACAGGTGGCTGTGGGAAATCACATATCCAAATTATTCAAATCTTGGATGAAGTTATCAAACACTATTAGCATTGCTTGAATACAAAAGTAACTAGTCACTTGGTGTTTGCTGATATATATTTATATGTGGCATAACCATCTGTTCTGCTGTCATCAGGGAAAGAAAGCAGGTGATGGGGATTCGAGGTGAGTCACTTTCTTCTCCAGAGACAATGACAGACAAAATTCATTATACAACTGAATCAGGGGACATTCAGAAATAGCATGTTTTTGCATTTGAGAGCTTGAGATTCAGGAGAGTGTAATGGAAAAAGAAAGGTTTAGATCTTGTTTTATAAAATTTGAACTTTATATTTTAATTTTGATAAAGCTGTGCCATACTCAAAAATCTTGCAAGTGACTTTGTGTTGTAAATGCATACAGTAATATATACAAAATTGTATTTACAATAGTCATATACAAAGGCATCAACAAAGAGTGTGATTTATCTTATTGTTTTAGTTGCTACAGTTTAAAATATCAACAGAGCAAATTACATTTTCCTTTAACAAATAAGGTAATTTAGTTTGCACCTTTTCAGTAATCCCAAGAGTCTCCACGATATGATTTTATCACAATATTTCTGTCACAATACAATACTATTGTACCCACGCGAACGCAAACTCCACACAGAAATGCCAACTGACCAATGCCGAGGCTTTGTATTCTCGATATTGTATTCTCGAGAACTATTTTAAATAAGTAGTTAAGTAGTCTAAATCAGTAGTCTTAATAAAGGTTTAAGCAGCAGTTGAATACCATCATAAAACATAAAATGAATGGCAATTACAAATGTTTATAATCAAGCAAGTTTATTGATTTTGCAATTCTAAATATGTGAATAAATAAATGAATGATTGAATGAATGCTTTAAAATGATTACAAATAACAAATTATTTACAAATGAAATTAAATCTAAATATTCTTGTTATTTTACTAAAACTTGTGAAAATTATATATCCTTATAGTTACTAAATCTTAAATGAATGAATGAATGAATGTATGAATGAATGAATGAATGAATGAATGAATGAATGAATGTTTTGAAAATTATTTACAAAAAATTAAATCAAAATATTTTTTTATTTTACTAAAACTTGTGAAAATTATATATCCTTATAGTTACTAAATCTTAAATGAATGAATGAATGAATGAATGAATGAATGAATGAATGTTTTGAAAATTATTTACAAAAAAATTAAATCAAAATATTTTTTTATTTTACTAAAACTTTTGAAAATTATATTTTCCTTATAGTTACTAAATCTGAATGAACTAATGAATGAATGAATGAATGAATGAATGAATGAATGAATAAGTGAAATAATGACTTTTTAAGCTTTTTCTTTGAATTTTTTTTTTCTTAATCTGACATGAAACTTTCAAAAAACTGTTGATTTGCTTTTAGGTGAATGTTATAAAAATATTATAAATAAACAAATGAATAAACATTTTAACAATTAAATAAATTATTTACAAATTAAATTAAATCAAAATATTTTTATTTTAATAAAACATCTGAAAGTTGTTTTCCTTATATTAATAAATATTGAATGAATGAACAAATAATTGAATGAATCAGTTAGTGAAAGCATATTTTTAGGATTTACTTTGTAGTTTTTTTCGAAATCTGACATAAAATTAAAACAAAACTGTTGAATGTTTTTAGATGATTGTCATAAAAATTTTAATTATAAATAAACAAATGAATAAACATTTTTTAAATTATTAAATTATTTACAAATAAAATGAAATCTAATTAATTTTATTTTCCTTATAGTTACTTAATCTTGAATGAACAAACAAATGATTGAATGAATCAATTCGTGAAAGGATATTTTTAGGATTTATTTTGTAGTTTTTTTCTATATCTGATATAAAATTTAAAAACTGTTGTTTTTTGTTTTTAAGTGGTTATTCTAAATGAATGAATGAATGAATGAATGAATGAATGAATGAATGAATGAATGAATGAATGAATGATACAAAGTTTTGCAGTTAAGCATCATAATGAATATAAAACGATGTAATTGTATCTGGATATTGTGAGTCACATACGTGCAAAGATCAACACAGTGTTTTGATGTGGTCAGACTGTGAACTCCCCCTGCTGCTGTGATGTGGAGTTTGTTTGACAGTCTCCTCCAGGGGAAGGTGCTGCTCCTCAGCTTAGAGAGCTTTCATTCTTTCTGCTCTTCCTTGTCTTTTTATGTCCTCCTGTACTCACCTCTATACCTCCTTCCCCTGAGGCTCCCTGTGTCGCTACATTACCCCCATCACCCTGCTCTCTCTGCCCAACATGAACCCCACCGACTGGGTTTAATTAGAGCGAGTGTGTGGAGTCCAGGGGCCGAATGCTTACAGGCTGAAGGGCTATGTGTGTGAGACGCTCAAGGGGCCGACACGCTCTGCTACTGTCAGTTTGACGTCGCTGTATCAACAACAAATGAGAGCCGATTTCTAACTGTGACTGTGACTGACACCACGGGGCCCTGCGATGGATCCTGTACAGGCTTGATGGATGCTGTGCTTCTGTATTGTGGAGATTATCTGGAGTTTTATCTGAAAAAAAGTGTCTTCAATGTGTGATTTGTTGTCTGAAGCCAGTGCCCTAAAAAGTGAAGCCAAAACATTTCAGTCGCCCCCTTTAGGCTGGCTGCAGTACTTTTCAGAAACCCAGACCTCTTAAAGGGTCATGAAACACTAAAACACATTTTTTGAACTGTTGACAGTCATATATGTGTCCCACACGGCTAAAAACACTATTAGGACACATATTTTTCACTAAAAAGTGAAAATTGGTTGTTTTTGCGTTATTTTGAGCAAATTCTTCCAGTTTGAAACGAATTTTTAAAGCTACGTCACGGCCAGGAGATCTTAGCGTATATTCCAGCGTGTAGACTAGACGTCTGTACCTAGAAGTACCATATTACGTCTCTGAGTGTGTTGCATTGATTCATGAGTATGGCTTGGTTCACACTTCATTAATATGCATGCTAGCTTCGAAGACTGTACCTGAAACAATGTTCAGACGGCAGAGAGACGCCACGTTGTGTTGCCAAAAGAAGTGGGAAAAGAAAAGGACTTGTTTGGAGATACGGGTCGTCAGTGTTGCTTTTATAATGTGCTGCAGTGAAGGTTTTGCTTTCATTTTCTCTCGATGAGAGCGCTTCTGGACTCACATGTGGATTACAGTGCACGCGACGCGCAGCACAAATATGTTTGTACGGAACATTGTTACTCAAGAGCTTTGCTCATCTGGAAATGGTGAAATTCAGATTTGCTGCTCATCTCCTTTAAAAAATGATGGAACTCCAGTATGTGTTGATTGTCCTGTCTACAGATTTGGTAAGTGTGTGCAATCAGCGCCCTTTCGCCTTTTTCTTTTATAGTTCATATCGTCAGCAGTATTCTTTCAGTGTTTAAAGACAGACCTTAGTCAAAATGATTTCTAAGTTACTGAGTGTATACACGTGGACGTATACACGTATTTCTGAGTGTATACACGTGGACACGGCAAGAAAACTATTGCAGACCGATGTGTTTTATTTTCGCCGCATTTTGTGACAGGATTGTCCACACACACACACGGCTTTCTGCCCTACCGAGTGCATCCGAGTTACTAAGAAATGCAGAGTTTTTTTTTTCTCTTATACGACGTGCGGTATCAAACTTTCCACCGTCATTTAACAGCAGTCTCTGTCTTTCTCCCTGTGTCTTTGTTTGTTTTTCCTTGGTGAAAATGAGCGCGTGCCCAAAAGGGAACTCCCATTTTTATTTAAATCCCTTTTCCCTCCCCGACACTCCCACCCAAACAGAGCTAGACACACCCACTTTCTTGACTTTTTCCAAACTGCAGGTGTGAAAACACCCTGCTGAAACAGGGGTTTCGTGGCCCTTTAATGCAAATAAACAGAAATGAAAATAACAGGTGTTTTTCCTTTTAGCACTAACAGCCTTGTGGTTAGTGTATCAACACAGCAATGTGAAAAAAGTTTTAAATAGTTTTCAATTTTAAATAAAAGATCCTAAAGATGGGCGAAGCAGTGGCGCAGTAGGTAGTGCTGTCACCTCACAGCAAGGTCGCTGCAGTTGCTGCAGGTAAATCTTAAAACAATCAAAATAATAATAATAAAAATGTATTAAACTAAACAAAATTAAATATAATTCCCATTTAAAACATACAGACTCACTCACATACAGAATAAACACAGACAAATCAAACACAACACAAGCGTGTACAAATTTGATGTGACAAAAACCACCTCCTGGTCAGGTGTGAAAACATCTTGCAGTCTGTGCATGTGATCAATTCTGTTGGAAGAGTGTTTCATAGACTTGCGCCTCTATAAGAAAAATATGATTAGCCAAAAGAGGTTATATATTCAGTTTTATTTAGTGACTTGCTAGTTTAAAAAGGGGGTGTGGCCATAATGGTGTGGTTGTTCTTGAGTCTGAGCCGATACTTGGATATTGTGGCCCCACTTCTGATCAGGGTACACTGAAGTTCCAAATCTAAACAAAGACAGCAGCCAGGTTTTCATTAAAACAAAGCTGAAATACAAATATTAGAATATTAAAAATGCATTTAAAATCAATTTACGCAATCTAATAAAAGCAAGTTCACAAAATAGTACATTTTTGCTTTGAATATAAAGTGCCTTAAAAACATTTTTGTTGTTGTTCATTCATTCATTTTCCTTCTGCTTAGTCCCTTTATTCATCAGGAAATGAACCGCCAACTTATCCAGCAGATGTTTTACACAACGAATGCCATTCCAGCTGCAGCTGCAACACTTGAACACCCCTACACTCTCACATTTACAGCCAATTTACAGACGTTTTTTGCTATTTCTGTGGAGAATTTTGGTTAAAATTCTGCAGAATTATTTTGAGAGTATAACTAAAACCTTAATATGGGAATAAAAAATAATATATTTTAAACTTTTATTTAATGTTTAAAATGCAAATCCAAAATAGATTCGTCTATTTTGACGAAGTCTCTCATCTTTTATATCTACTAAAAGACAGAAAATATTATTGTACAAACTGCATTGTACATCAATAAGATGAACATTTTAATATTAGTCAATAATATTGCTGTACTTAATTTAAAAAATGAATAAATATAGATTTACACAAATTTGCCCAAGTAAATAAACAGAAATAATGATGGGCTAAAAATCTGAGGAATTCTGCAAACGCAGATTTCTTGTGGGCTTACCTATCGCACATGTCTTTGAACTGTGGGGAAACTGGAGCACCTGGAGGAAACCCATGGGAACAAAGAAAGAACAGGCAAACTCCACACAGAAATGCCAACTTATCCAGCTGAGCTGAGACTCAAACTTGACTTTCTTGTTGTAAGGCGACAGTGCTAACCACTGAGCCACTGTGGTGCAACATTTTTTTAAAAAGCATGCAAAAGTTTAATATGAGTTTAATATATTTATATTTAGGGAGAATCTATTAAAATGATCAAAAGTAACAGAAATGTTTTAAATAAATGTTGTTCTTTTAACGGCAGTGTGTTTTAGTGTGTTAAAGTTTCCATAAAAACATTAAGGAGAACAACTACACATGTTTTTAACATTAATAATAATACATAAGAAAGGTTTCTAAAACAGCAAATTAGCATATTTGAATAATTTCTTAAGGAACACTGAAGACTGATGTGATGATGCTGAAAATTCTGTTTTGTGTGACAACAATAAAATATTAATGATTTATATTATTGTTTATATGTAATTAATATATTTTAATCAAATATTTATTTTTAATAGTATAAATATTGCACATTTAACTATACTTTTAATATAAAAATTTTTTTTCATTCCTATAAATATAGTTTATTTGTTTTTTTTAACTAGAACATAAATATGTAATGGGCGGTTCATTCCGCTGTAGCGACCCCGGATTAATAAAGGGACTAAGCCGACAAGAAAATGAATGAATGAAATTTGTTACGTCATACAGTAAATCTGGCACTGAATAAATCATGCTAATTACAACTTAATTTTAACTGTGCAAATTCTTTTTAAACAATCTTTGCAGTATTCTGAAAACATCTGAAGAAGAAATATAAAACATTTGAGCTTCTATTAAAAAAACAGAGTTCCCAACTCCATTTGTTCCTGTATGTGTGTGTACAGTCTATGGTGTGTACATGCATACGCGTGTGTGTCCATGCACATATAGGTTTTGTGCTCCTTTTTCGTGCTTATAGGAAGACACTCCATCACGACCAAACAACAAGAACAAAGGTCACACTGCCTCCTACTGGCATAATGGGCTCACAGGAAACCAAAGCAAACACAAACCTGCATTTCCCTCATATGTTACACACACACATAAACTGTAATAACACTTTATGTTGCATTAAGAGTAATTTACAGTTAAACCAAAGAGCAATTCCTTGAATTTAAGAACAGACTGTCCAGAGAAATCAAACAGCCAGCCAAGATGAAGGTCTCACAGCTCACACTATCACATGTGTCTTACACCTTTCTCACACACAGGCAGGCGTCACATCTTGGACACACAGGCAACTTCATCTGACATGTCTGTGGCCCTGGGGACTACAACAGCCGACAGACACAAAAATGAGATGTCAGAGTGCAAAACACAAGCATAGACTGCTTATAAACGTGACTTCCCTATTCAGCAATTGTACATGTTCCTAAATTTGCTTTGGAGGTTTATTTACATACACAGTAAAAAAAAAATATATATATATATTAATTAAAATAAAATAAAATAATTATTCTTATTATTTCCCAAAGATGGGTTAGAGCTGGACGAGCACCCACTGCATAAAGCATATGCTGGATAAGTTGGCAGTTCATTCCACTGTGGCGACCCCAGATTAATAAAGGGACTAAGCCGAAAATAAAATTAATAAATAGTAATAATTAAACACTTTAATTTTATCATAACACAAATCACAATCTTTACTGTGTTTTAGTTTTTAAAATAGGTTCAGGGATCTTGTCTTTCTAAACCAAAGCTGGAGTGCCCACTCTGATCCCCCAAGCTCTGCAATGGTTGAGAAAATTCTAAATTGAACCAAAAAACTAATGATTACAATTGGCTTAAGATTGACAATGAAAAATCAGGAATCTGTCAACAAGGAAATGAAAAAAAGAAAGAAAGAAGAAAGCAAGAATAAATAAATTCTATTGTATCAATTCAAGTCCTTGTTACTTGTGCATTATAGGTGCATTCAAAGTGTGTACCTTATACATTTCTGGAGATCGCAAATTATAAAGCCAGAGCTACGTATGGCTACATTTCAACATTCAAATCTAAACTATAGGGTGGTATGACACCACCAGGGAGATAGCGGACATTTTAAAAGTGGGGGGACAGCTGTATGAGATCCAAATGTTTACGTTCATATGATTATTAATAACCTGTTTCTAAATGGTCTGTCTCTAAAAGTGCGAGGTACATATCCCCCCCGATCCCCCTTGATTGCTATTCCCCTGGACGCCACTGATGGCTTCTGTTTCTTTTCACACTACCAGCTGACTGTGCACGGCCTTTCCACTGTTTTAGATTGCTTAATAGCTCGCCATGTACATTGGCGAACTTGAGACACAGAGAGGAGTTGACCACAACAACAGAGTTCGAGTCAAACAAAGAACGGTTCCAGAAAGCAGGTAAAACATAAACTAAAGTCAAGAAATAAAATAAACAAGTAAAGAACAGGGTGAGAATGTGGTAAGTTCAGGGCCGGCGCGTCCACAGAGGCGACCTAGGCGGCAGAATAGAGAGGGTGGCGTCCCCGACACTACCCTCACCTCTCATGCCGTTATATCCGCGTCTAGGGCGGCAGAATAGAGAGGGCAGCGTCCCCGACACTACCCTCACCTCTCGCATTATATCCGCATCTAGGGCGGCAGAATAGAGAGGGCGGCGTCCGCGACAGCTCCCTCAAGCTGACCCCATGAGCCATGGTTGGTTTGGTTTAAACCTACATCATGGCGATTAAAAAGTACTGTATATAGTAAACATAGCTAAATGTGTTTAGTATGAAAAAGAGATCAACCAATAAGTGAAGTTTATTTATAAACTGATTTCGAGAGGAGCACATGGTTATGATTGATAGCACCTGGTCCACATTAGCTAACACTGATTTACTAATCAGACGACTCCTTAATCACTATTAATAACCAGAGTATCTTACTTCAGCCATCTTCGTCTTGAAGAATCACCCCTTCCACCCCTACTCCTCCCATTTCCTTGTCAGGGCAGCACGGAGGCCTAATGGTTAGCACAACAAGAATGTCATCGGCTCTGACACTTCCTTGCCAGGTCAGCATTTCTGTGCGGAGTTTGGATGTTCTCCTCGTGTTTGCATGGGTTTTTACTGGGCTCTCCGGTTGCTCCCACAGACCAAAAACATGTAACATAAGCAAACTGACAAATCTAAATTGACAGCATAGACACTTCACAGCATCAATCTACTTCCAACATTATCAAGCAGGGGAGTTCTCGAGACCTACCTGAACTCGGACACCCCTCTCGCCCTGCAACGGGAGGGAGCCCCGGGCTCGAGGATCTCACGGGTTCAGGGCTCTCTCCCGGGACGGCAAGCCAAACTAGCTTCATAAACAATCATCAGCTAAGGGCGAACTCTTGAATTGGTTGTTTCCCACTAGTTTTAGTATTATAATATTCAGGGGTGCAAATAACTGGTACACAGGTGCACATGCAGAATTAAATAAAAAATACAGACCAGATACGACACCAGAAGAGCACTACCAGCACTGCATTTCGTAACCTTCTTACCCAAGTTACTGCAACATCAAGAATTGCACCACATTTCATTGATAAGATAGTTAATATACACATGTTAAAATGGGTGTATAAAATAATGCACCATTTCACTCCTTTAGTACAATATCCATCAGATGCTCACTTCAGAAATCTCACTGAACTTAATCCTTTTAGTTCTTTTCACTTAATTTGTTTTACTATAAACTGCATATAAATGAAAACTGACATACTACTCGGCTCATTTGCTGATTTTAGCCTACTATATAGTATAGAAGTATCAATATTCAGATGCAGAAAAAGTATTTTTGACTTGTTAACAACACAAATCATTGTTTAAGGGTTAAAGATAATGCTATTAATCAGTCATAGACAACTACAGACTGCCTTTAGCAAGTACAACTGAAGTATTACTGACAGCCTGTTTCAGGCATTGATTTATTCTCTTGAGAAACAATAACTCCATCTACTGTGCACTTCTTGAAACTTTGATCCTTCTTACATCCGCAAACAGCTTCATTACACACTACATCCGAAAAAAAGCATAACAGAGGCACTTTAAGCTAATAATGACTGAGCAGGCATGCAAAATCTGTGCTGTACGAGCAGCTTAAATGCATCTGAATAAGCTTTTTTTTCTGCATCGGCCTCTTTTTACACACTTGGCAGCAGAAGTCATTTGTAAAATTCTCCGCCGCGCCATTAAGCACAGTGAGCAGACTCCGAGGATAATCGTGCGATTTCTGCGTGGCTTCTCCTCCAGGACCGCGACGCTAGAATTAACCACTCGCCGTTCCACCATAGCCATCTTGTTCTGGATTTTAAAGCGCTGTTATGATGGTCTCCGAGTAATAAATCTCAGATCAGGCTGAAATCAAATAAGATTTCAAGCATGGCTAACTGTCTCTATCCCTGTGGCGGACGCATCTGGGTGTCGAGCTAAACGCCATTACCTTGAGCTGATGGGGCAGCCAGGCGATTGATATATTCTGACAGCGCGAGGCGGGTGAGCCTTTGTGCGATTTATCAAGAAGCATGTCTTTCTGCTGTCAATAGCTGACTGGCGTGTCAGCACCAAAAGGGCAGGCATTTTGTGACTCAGTTTGAGAGAACTTGGGTGAATGCGATGACAATGAGTGGAAAAATTATGCACTAAGAGAAGGGCTGTCAGTGTAACGTGTTCATTTAGACTGATTTGTTCGTAAACACTACATTAAGAAAAAGTGTTATAAATAACATTAGTCAATGTTAATTAATGTATTCACTAACATGAACAAACAATGAACAATTGTTCATGGGCGACAGAGTGGCTCAGTGGTTAGCACTATCCCCACACAGCAAAAAGGTTGCTGGTACAAGTCCTGGCTGGGCATTTCTGTGTGGAGTTTGCATGTTCTCATTGTGTTCGCGTGGGTTTCGTCCGGGTGCTCCGCTTTCCCTCACTGTCCGAACACTTGCGCTATAAGTGAATTGACAAAACTAAATTGACCACAGTATAAGAGTGCATGTGTGAATGCGAGGGTTCATGGATGTTTCTCAGCACTGGGTTGCGGCTGGAAGGGTATCTGCTGCGTAAAACATTTGCTGGAATAGTTGGCGGTTCACTCTGCTGTGGTGACTCCTTAAAATATAGGACTAAGCTAAAGGAGAATGAATGAACAAATAAATAAAGTTGTTCATTGTCAGTTCATGTTCATTTAAAGTGCATTCAATAATGTTATGACACGGCTGTCTGGAATACTTGATTCAGATTGGTCAGTCGTAAAATTACAAGGTATGTTATTCCGAGATAGCAACCGCTGAATAACACAGACTCATACTTCAAATCAAAATAACCATCAGATCTGACTTTAGTCACTTCCCTTAAGCAAGTGTGTTTGCAACCACAGAAGAAGGACATCCATGGAAGAGTACAAGTGGAAGAGGGAGAGCCGATGAGGAGAACCATCTGACTTTGATTCCAGCCGGTGAGTGAATAAATGAGGTGAGTCTTTATAGAGCATGGGTGATAGCGGGTGCAGGTGCAGGTGATCAATAATCAGGTGATAGTTCACGGGTGTGGTGTGTGGTGAAAGGTGAGGGAAAGCGTTGATTGGGGCTGCAAAAATAAGCCGAGAGTGTGACACCTGTCAGGCTTTATTCTGCAATGTATTTTATTGCTTACGTAACAAGCTTACTTAAAATCTTTTAATTATAGATCAAAGAGAAACTATATAAATATTTTAAAAAATCATAACACAATAAGGTTTCATTAACTAATGTTAGTTACTAACACATGACTAAAATCTAAATTCATACTTGTTACTGGAATTAAGAGATAAAGTGCATTCCAGAATGAAGCCTGACAGGCTTCTTGGCAGCCAATCTGATGGTCAAGATAATTTGAAGTATGAGCCTGTGTTAATTCTATATGTAAAATCTTTTACTAATAAAATGATTTACAGAAAGTGATAACAGATGAGTGGACATAAAAATATTTGGAAGCCACAAAAAATCTGCCACATTGTCTTAAATTCTTACATTTTCTAAGGAAAAATATGTATTTAATATTGATTCATAACCCTTATTAATTGTTAATTAATAATTAACAAACTATTTTGATAATACTTTCATTTCAGATATAATTCACACCATTTGCTACTTTCTAATTACCTGTCTATCATCAATATATTAACTGTTTATTAACACTTTAAGTATGATCTTATTCTACATCCCTAATCCTACCCAATACATAAGCATAACAACTACATTACTAGCTATTAATAAGCAGTTATTAGTTTATTGAGCTAAAAGTCTTAATTAATGGTGTGTTAATGGTTTAAATTGTAGGTTAAAATAAAGGTGACCATAATTTTTATTACATTTTTACAAGTTTATTAGAGTCATTTTATTTAGGAGTACTGATTTATCTGGTTATAGCAAGGCTCTTGTTAATGGCTCACTGATTCAAATGATCCGGTCAGAGCAAGTCTGCAGTTCACTAATTCAAATGATGGCCCTGTCCCAATCGGCCCACTTTTCTGTCTCATGGATTTTTCTTAGGGCATTTGAGACAGGGCTGATGTGAGAGTGAGTCTACAGTAACAGACTCAGAGTTTTGGTTAGAGAAAGACAGAAATGCGGTCTCAGAGTGTTTGGCCTTTGGCTGCAGGCGACACACTTTCACACACCATACTATACTGTATGTTACATGATCCTTCAGGAAGCACCATTTAACAGTCCTTACAGGATTTTGCAGAGACATTTTCTTTATATTTGCATCAAAATGATTTTGAAATGAAAATGATTTGTCAAAAGTTCTGGTTTTATTTCCTACAATTTTTGCATTTTTCTATGTATTTTTTTTATCTCAAGAGCCATTGAAGTCCTGGAACTCCTGGAGGCACCAATTAATTTATGCTTGAGAAACATTTCTTAATATTTCCATTGCTGAACAATTTTTGTTCAAATGATGATGTTTCTTTCTTTCCAGAATCTCTTAATGAAAAGAAAGCTTAAAAGAGCTATCTTTTTACTTTTCATTTTTGTTCAATTTAAATAATCCTAATTGAACAAAACCATACATTTCTTTGGTCATGCAATACCATAACACAGTGGTTCCCAAACTTTTTGCTCTGTGCACCCCTTTCTAATATTTGACACCTGTCAAGCACCCCTTTCTCCAATTAAACTCCACATTTTTACCTACAATAACTGAATACAAATATTTTCTGTATACGTGATTAAAAGAATGATAATGAAATATGTGAATTTAAGAGGCGAGCTTCTATGAAGTTAACAATTTTCACAGCGTCATTAAGTACAGACAAAAGTTCATCTGGCATGTTTTTTTATCGCTGGAGCTTCTTGGTGGATGCTGTAGTGCACCCAAGAAACCGATGGTGCAACTTTTCAGATGAAAGCTTCTCTTTTTCTGCACTTCCTCCAATTTTCCTTGAAAAACTTACAGGCATGTCTTGTTTATAAGTGCTGGACCATATATGAGGGCTTAAGGCTGCAATTAGCTAAAACCTCACCACAGACTACACATTGCGAATTTGAATTTTCTGCATCTCCAGTGCATGTAAACCCGAAACCAATGTAACTGTCGCTATATTTGCATTTCTTACTTGACATTTTCTCACTAGCCCAGGCCTAACTCTCTTCATCAGTACATCTCTGCTGGATTTCTCTGTTCCCTCCTGCGCCTCTTCACCTTGTTTATTATCCACCGAGTTCATATATTCAAGGCCGCTGCACATCTCCATAGAAGAGGCCGATGCTGATGGTTTATCACTACTGTCACTTGACTTTTTTAAATTGCCAGTTTTTAATCAGGTGTCCATTTTGATGAATATAGTAAGCAGGAAAAAAATTACGAATGTACTATCACTTAGCACCTAATATTGTGACGCAGACTTGAAACTGCAAGATGAGTGAGTATAGGTTGTAAATTACAATTTTTAAAGTCTTTTTTTCCCTCTCAGTGAATTTCTTTTCTCTCAAAAATATGACATGAAATTTACCCAAGATAAATGCATAAGAATCATAAAAGATTACATTTTCCACCATTACAAACATTCTCTCGCGCACCCCATGTGGTCAGACTGCGCACCCCAGTTTGGAAACTGCTGCTATCACACTAATTCTAATCATTTAAAATGAGGCATAACAATGAATTACTTAATAATAAAACATTCAAATTAGACAAAGATTAATGCAATATTCAGAAATGCTTCCTACTACCTAAATAAATATTTCTGCGATAAAAGGCTGATTTTTGAGCATCTTTACTCCAGCCACATGATCATTCAAAAATCATTTTAATATGCTCAAGAAACATTACCTATAAATCCAAAAAAACAAACAAAAAAAACGCTCAGGAGTAACTCATATATTTGGTCGGTGCTTTTTGGGTAAGGGATTCATCAAAACAACAACAGAAATTGGTCCAAAGCACTCGAAAAAATGTGGAAAATTTAAAAAGCCTTTATTCACATGGCTAAATCTTAAAAAACCTACAGGATTCAGCAAGGAACTGCCTTCATCAGGGTAACAGTGATCAGGTGAGTCTATAGTCTCTCTTGAGTACTATGGTCACATGAGATATATCAATGAGTCATGTGACCGTAGGACTCAAGAGAGACTCTAGACGCACCTGATCACTACCCTGATGAAGCGGTTCCTTGCCAAATCATGAGGCTTTTTTTAAGATTTAGCCATGCGAATAACGTTTTTTTTTAAACATTTCTTATAATTGGGTGTCGAAAACACTTGCGCAAAAGTCACAACATTCTTGTGCAAAGACAAAAATCTTTCTTCCCAGGATTCTTTAATGAAAAAAAAGAGTTTGTCATCTTTTCTACCAGTCTTAATCAATTTAACGCCTCCTTAGAGAATGAAACATTAATTTAATCATGCAATACTAATACTAACACTAATACTAATACTAGCAAGCACTAATGCAATGTTCAGAAATTCTTTAATCCCACTAGCTATATTGCATATTGTTTTCCATTAATAGTTTCCACCTGATCTAAAATCACACTTACAAACAAATATATCACAATCGTTAACGACAGAAGAAAATGTGAAGTGACAAAAAGGAACTAACAAGCTTTCTAGCATAACATATATACTACAGCGTGTGCTCCAGCAGACTGCTCTATTACTCAGAGCAGGTACTGGAACAGCTGCAGGTTAGCTGTTTTAATTGGACATGTCAAATGCCATCATAGGTTTCAACAATGTTGCATAGACGGTAGACGTTTGAACTTGTGTGTTTAATCTTTCGAAGAATGACCAAGACTGGCAGAAACCAAAGCCCAGCTCCCACAACACAAATGAGTTGTCAGAGCGGGTGGCCTTTGGCTTACTTTGACACACTGTACTATATGGAAGCTGAAGCCAATGTGGAAAACCGCATGTAGGCATGCAGGAAAGTGTGTGTACTCATTAAATGCGACACGCTTTGGGACTTTGTTGGCCTTCGGTGCTGGCTATATAAGGGCCTATTACAGCAGACAGGAACAAAGGCACGCTATTGTCTCTATTTACCTGCAAACATGGACAAGCCTGGCAGGACACGCAAGACAAGAAAAAGTGGTTGTTAGTTATAGTGTCTGGTTTCAGTGTCAACCATCAGTCAACGGCGCTCGGCTCGTTTGGGTGAGATTCAGACCATCCATTCCCATTAGTGTCCATGTTTCCAGCGGAGAACTTTACAAATGACCCATTACTGCTTCTCATTCAGACACATGAGCGGTTCTTTCTCTACAGCTATTTATAGAGCTTCAGAGCCACCCTGTGGACACAAGCGGACCTGCAGTCGCATTTCTTTTCTTCAGATTTGGTTTAAAAGGGCTATATGGCTATTTAGATCACAATGTATATTCAATTAAAAGGACATAAATTAAATGATAAATAAATATACAAGTGCACTGAAATATACATCTTTTAAGTTTAATTCAGTATTTAAATTTTTCAAATTATATTTAGAATACACATATTTAATACTTATATATAAAGGTACTATAATTATATTAATTTTGCAAAATATATGTCCTGCAAACACATTTATTAGTATAAGTATTAATATACATGTACAAACCTGTACCATATGTTTATAAAAAATAATTTAGTTGTATAAAATAATTAAATATAGATCTAATATATGTATAAAATAAATTTTGCTTGTAAATATTGTTTCTATGAATGTAAATATTATATTTTACTCTCATTAACAGACATAATACGTATGTATTCGTTTATTCATTAATTTTCAGCTTAGTCCCTTTATTAATCTGGGGTCGTCACAGCAGAATGAACCGCATACTTATCCAGCATTTCTTTTAAGCAGTGGATGTCATTCCAGCTGCAACCCATCACTGGGAAACACCCATATACTCCCATTCACGCACATACACTACGAACAATTTAGCTTACCAAATTCACCTGTACCGCATGTCTTTGGATTTATGGAGGAAATCAGAGCACCCGGAGGAAACTCACACGAACACGGGAAGAACATGCAAACTCCACACAGAAATGCCAACTGACTCAGCTGATGTTCGAACCAACAACCTTTTTGCTGTGAGGCGATATCGAAACCCACTGCACCACCACGACGGGCTAAATTACAATATTTTAGTGGAAATTGTGTGTTTTTAAAGGTTACACAGAAAGTTATTAAGTAATTTTATTTTTTACTCACTTTCCTTCGGCGTAGTCACCGCTGCTGAATGAACCACCAACTACTCTGGCATGGGTTTTACCTGCTGAAGCCTTTCCAGCCACATCCCAGCATTAAGAGTAGACAACCATCAGTCTTATGAAACCCCCACAAACGCCCTCATTCACACACTACAGCCGTTTTTGTTTATTCAATTCATCCTACACCGCATGTCTTTGGACTGTGGGGGAAACACCTGGACGAAAACCTACGCAAACACAGAGAGAACATGCAAACTCCACACAGAAACATCAACTGGCCCAGACGGGACTCAAACCAGCAACCTTCTTGCTGTAAGGCAACCAGGCTAACCACTTATATAATTATCATGTATTTATAATGTAGTTATTATGTATAATGTATATAATTATGTTCATGCATAATGTATATTGTAAATTATTATCAGTTTTGATCAATTAAATGAATCTTTGCTGAACATATGCATTCATTTCTTTTAATAATACAATAACCAACATAACCCCAAAATTGTTCAAATATTCTAAAACATATATATTATAGATTATATAAAAATTTCAAACTACACCATATTTAAAATTAAAAAATAAACTTTTCAGGCCATGTCTCCATCAAAAAAAAAAAAAAAAATTCATATTCAATTTAGGTTTCAGACTACTGCAGCACTAATAACTGCAGTCAAGGAAAAAAAAAAAGTTTGAATGTTTTAATTTTGTTTTTTTAAGCCCCAAAAAATGTCTTTTGTTTCCCTAAAAATCTGTTATTTCACAACAAAACAAAATTCAACCACATTAAAAAGTATATATTTTGCTGCTTGTTCAAACTACTTATTTAAATGAGGAGTTTGATATTCTTCCTATTCTTAAATGTTAAACTAGTTGTTTTGGGTAAAGGTTTTTTGGCTATGTTTTGTTGTATTTCTTTATGTTTTATTACCTCTTTGCTTATTTGTGATTTATTATTAGAATTTGTTTTTAAATTTTCAATATGTAAATTGTATAACTTACATATTGAAACTTACATATTATAAATGTTATTATATATAAATGTGTACTTTTTATTTTTTGTTGTGAGATAATGTATGAGATCATGTGACAAAATGTATAAAACAGAGCAACATAATGTGATGTACACTGTCTGATGATTAGCCGGTTTGCTCGAAACATTACACGTCTTGTATCAACCTTTTTAATTTAACAAATTGACATTTTTGTAGCTTTAGTGTTGCCACCTTTTTGAAAATATACCGTTAAAGTCAGTATTGTAAGCCCCCTTTTGATTTTTTCCCAATTTCCCAATTGATGTTTAACAGAGCAAGGATATTTTCACAAAATGTCTGATAATATTTTTACTTTTGGAAAAAAAGTCTTATTTGTTTTATTTTGGCTAGAATAAAAGCAGTTTTAATTTTTTTTTATTATTAGCCCCTTTAAGGCACTTCAATAGTCTACAGAACAAACCACTGTTATATAATAACTTGCCTAATTACCCTAATCTGCCTAGTTAACCAAATCAACCTAGTTAAGCCTTTAAATGTCACTTTAAGCTGTATAGAAGTGTCTTGAAAAATATCTAGTAAAATATTATGTGCTATCATCACAACAAAGATAAAATAAATCAATTATTAGAAATGAGTTAATAAAAGTATTATGTTTAGAAATATGTTGAAAAAATCTTCTCTCTAGAAATTGGGGGAAAAATAAACAGAGGAGCTAATATTTCAGGGGGTCTAATAATTCTGACTTCAACTGAATATATTTTTTTAGCTGAAAAAAAAACACAATTCTTGCAATTGTTGGTAACAACTTAATAGTTTTATGTTCAATCTGCTTTGATCTAAGTTAACTTAATCGATCTGGGTTGAGACAACAGGAATGAATTGTGTGGAACCTTGCATTTTTTACAATGCAGTTACCCCAAATCTCTATTGAAATCATGACCAGACCTGAGCCCACCGATGACATCCACTTTTATTGCGATATAAAAAATGCAAACTCTGGTGACCTTCTCGACACTCTTCAGCTGTAATTAGCAGCGAGCTGATTAAAAACACCTCGGTTAGAAAAGTAACCTCTTCTCCCCGTCAAAACGGAAAGTAACATCATCAGTCAGAGCAACTGGAGATGCTGCTGGCATTTCTGTGCCCGCTTAAAGGTCACCTTGCATTAGCAACAACTAAACAAAGAGAAGTCGTAATTAAAGAAAGTGTGATAATTAGCTGGAGCAACACTGACATTGGGGAAGGACTTTGCATAATATGAATGATTCAGCGAAAGAGCCCGAGTCTGACCTTTTGGCATGCTAAAATATTTATGTACTGCTGGTCAGTTCGTCGCCATGAGGGAAGCTTTCATGAATTATGCAAATCAGAATTAGTTCGCTCGTGGGTGTCAATTAGCGTGGGGAAGTGGACATTATTTGAGCTATTTTTCGTGTGTGTGTGTTTAAAGAGGTGTGACGGGTTTATTACCTGACCGTTTAAGATCATACATATTAATACAGTCATTACTGGATTGTCCCTTCGCTTAAAACTCGTCATGAACTCTAATGAAGAGAGTGACTTTGTGCTGTCCGTTTGGATATTACTGCAGGGCACGAGCTTTGTCATATAAATATGATATGGATGAAAATCACCTGCATTTATTCTCCTGAACGGGGCCGCACTGACAATACTGGTAATTATGTGTATATATTAGAGGTCAAGAGTTGGAAATTGGCCCTAAATGAGCTGAAAAAACAAATGTGTTGAAAAGTTCACCGATATACTTTGTAGTTCATATTCATTCTTTATTTATGAGGGTTTTTTGTTGTTGTTTTTTATATTTAGCATATTTTATTCGACTGACCCACATTTAATGTTTGTAAAAACTATTGCAAGAACTATTTTATGAACTCACTTGGAAATATTCATTATAGTTTTTTATTCAAAAAAGATTTTAGATATTCAATTATATAAAAAGGGTAAAAAAAATCATCAAATATTTATTTTATTGCTGGTTTTTATTGTATTTATTATACTTGTATATTATGAATTGCTGACATGGCATTAAATAAAAAATAAATCCATACATATACATGCATATTTCTTTTCTTTTTTCTTTTTTTCTTGCATGTAAATCTGCCACTATGCTGACATATTTGTAGCATTTGTAGCTCCACCCTTTTGCGAAAAGAGCCAGTCTCATTTGAATTTAAAGTGACAGTCACTAAAATGGCACAATAGAGTGGAGGAATTAAGACGTCACCTTGTAGGTGAATCGGCTGGTAACATAAAACTGGTTCCCTCGATAAAATCCCTTTAGGATTTTCCCATAGGCTTTTCGAAGATTGCATAATACGCTCTGTGTTTAAACACTGTTCATTACATTTACACGTTTTGTCCAGCCGGATAATCGTCACACGAAAATACAACTTTGAGCACTCTTGGATCTTAAATGCAAACGCAAGAACTGAAAAGCTAACATTAGGCTAGAAACGGACTACAGTGGATTTTTTTCAAATGCGTGTGCGTGTAAAACTATATAATTTGCACAAAGAAATTATGAGGTTCTTCTCTAAAAAAAAGTTGTTACCACCCCGTTTAGGGCATCATTATGGACGTTTTATGTTATAACTAACATTGTTCAAATGATGAATCTGCAACAGAGAAACTAGGGGTTTTGAGAAACAGTCGTCACTTCATCATTCTTTTCCCAAATGATACATCGTACTTTGATAGTTCAGCCGCAAGTTAAGTCGTTGTTTGGGAAACGCACCCCAGGTAGCTTAACACTTTGTATGGATTACACAGTAATAAAGGTGGACTAATTACCTCAGATTAACAATTTAACAAATGCAGATACAGATCCTCTCTCAGTGATGATCATTACATCACATATCCACCTCACATTCAAACTGACTTCAGAGCAAATGTTCAGCCCAACAAAGGCTACAATTCTCACGCTGAACATAAAAATATTGAATGAATGGATGAATAAATAAATAACTAAATAAATAAGCTGAAGCAATTAAACAAACAACCCTGTGACATTTGTATGAATTTGATATTATGATGTTGGTCTTAAAAGTACTTTTTGTGTAAAAAAAGTTTTTTTTTTAACTTTAGAGTTTTTATGAATGTTTATTAAATAGTTTTTACAGAATGTTTTTTTTTTTTTAAACAAATGAACTGTATTGGTCTGGCCCTTTAAAACCACCCCAGAGTCTAATGTGACCCCTTGGAAAAATGAATAGCCCACCCCTGCTTTACACAGACAATAATATTATAAAGATTCTTTCCTTGGGAATATGGTACCATAGAGCACTGTCGTTTATATATAGGAAACACTTAGAGAAACAAAACCAGAAACTAAAGAGTTTACTTCTTAACCCTTTAAACTCTTACTATATTTATACACGACCCAAAATTATCCAAATAAACAAAACTTTGTTCAACAATCTTCTCTGCATCAGTAAAATAATTAGCATTAAATATATTTGCTTTGTCTGATTTGTATTTGTTAAATCAATTAGCATTTTAGACCTAATACACTGAGTTTCGCCAACCACAATTAAAATGTTGTGGTTTTTATGATAAAACCAAGCATTAAACAACATCAAACTAGGCAGATTTTTATATTCATATGCACGTTATGTCAGCAGTTTGCTATACCATTGTGAAAATTTAGTCATTGACATTTGTGGCCACAAAAATGACAAAAAAAGTAGACCAAATTGCTATTTTTGCCCAGTTTGAGAAGCTAAGCAAATCTAAGATGTTTTCTTTTTCAGCTACTGTATATTCTCACTATATATCAAATACATGGATCATAAAAAGCTTGATGCTTCAACTTAAATAATAAAGAATCAGAACACACTTTTCTGACTTGTTTTGGTCCAGATTATAATTTGTAAGTAAAGATATATATAGTAGATGGAAAGATATTAGTGTGTGTGTGTGTGTGTGTGTGTGTGTGTGTGTGTGTGTGTGTGTGTGTGTGTGTGTGTGTGTGTGTGTGTGTGTGTGTGTGTGTGCGTGTGCGTGTGCGTGTGCGTGTGCGTGTGTGCTTAATTTAAAAAAATTGAAAGCTTCTCTTTATTTTGCAGCAAAATTATGTAGTTGGTGACTTGCGTGAGTGTAAACCTGGAGGTCTGTCATGTGTTCATAAATACACATTGTCCAGTAATTAAGCCAACAGGGCTTTGCCATTACCTGTGTGTCCCCGCAGACTCCGCGTGCCCGCAGAAACCAACCCACACGAACACATTACCAAGGTGAACAAGAGCACAATCCGCAGCGGCCACAGAGATCGACCCCACAGCTGCATCTAGAAGAGAGCAGCATACAGAGAAGGGCTCTTAGAAGTGTGCACTACAGCCAGATACTGTACATGATATTTGGTTTATCTTTCTGTTTCGAAACATTTTTACAATTGTTGTAGAGTGAAATGTTTTATATAATCGGACAAATTGCTTGAGCATATTATATATAAATAAAACTGTGAAGTTTGCTGAATTTGAGGGCTGCTGAACCATATAGAAATCAGATAAAAGAAAATATATGTATATTACATACTATATATATATATATATATATTTAAACACATATTTAAATTATAGCCAATAAATTTGAACATATACTGTAATAAACATTGTAATTTTTATTTATTGTAATTTTTAATTCCAATGGTTGAAAAAATATTAATGCAGTCATTTTTGCATACATGACATATTTGATCTATGTAAAATTCTAATATGAACTTGTATGTCAAAGATGTTGTCATATATCATATTTCTATCTGGGGAAATGGAGATTTGTGGCTCAGTGCAGAAGGAAAAACTCATTTTGAAAATGTATTGTAACTGAAATTTACTGAAACTAATTGTTAGGGCGATAAAAGAAAGTAGAGTCTTAGAGAGAGGGCATAGAGAAGGGCACTCAGAAGTGTGCACATACATCAAAGTTTAAACGTTGTTTCATACTGTACATCACAGCTGTGTTACCTTTCTGTGTTGTCTGATCAGTCTCTTCTCTGTGAGCTGGACATGTCTCTCCTCCTGTGTCCTCAAACACCGCTCAGATCCTGAGAAAACAGAAGGAAGAAGGAGACGGATGCGCTCAAATAAGGAAAGATGCAGGACACGTGTGTGTGTGTGTGTGTGTGTGTGTGTGTGTGTGTGTGTGTGTGTGTGTGTGTGTGTGTGTGTGTGTGTGTGTGTGTGTGTGTGTGTGTGTGTGTGTGTGTGTGTGTGTGTGTGTGTGTGTGTGTTTTTAACTACAGACACTTCTGGTCTTTTTATTGTGGATTAATAATGGACTTTCTGTACATCCATGATACATTAAATGTCATACTTTTTTTGCATATTTTCTTTCATATAACCATTACATATAACCATTCGTTTTTTGTAACAAAAAAAGGCATTCAAAATGGCTTATTTGTCTAGCTAATAGATATTAAATATGTTTAATTGTATGTCTTGTCAATACAAATATTGATTAATTCAAGTAAATTATTACAAATGATGTCTTCACATTGGATATTTAACCTAATTTACCTGCAAATTTCTCTTTGCACAAAACATATTACATCATATCAGTCTTACTGTATTTTAATTTTACTCTGTTAAACTGTCTAAAAACATAATAATTATGCTGGTTCATTCATAAATATAAAAAATAAGGCTTTTTTATTTAAAGTGCTACTGTATGTTCATCTTACATTTTCCCCAGAGATAAACTCTTTATTTTTGGATGATATTATGTGTTCTACTTATTTTTATTGAAGAATACAGCATTGCAAAGAGTACAGTACAGTGTAAAAGTTTTTTATTTTATTTTTGCAGAATAGTCCATCAATTTCTAGCTACCATAATGGTTGTAATTACAAGTAGATTATTATTATTATTATTATTATTATTATTATTATTATTATTATTATTATTATTATTATTATTATTATTATATTTTAGTTATTAATTTATTTATCTTTTATTTGCTTAATTACTGTTTTATGGATATCCTTATGGGCGTCTTTATTCTTTATTTAACTTTACAAACTACAATTTTTACAACAAAATTAACATAAAAATTATTTTAGAGTAATTTGATATTTTATTTCCACAGTTCCACAGTAATTCAGTAAAGTAACGGAGTTACGCAGAAAAGTAATGAATTACATTTTGAATTTGTGTAATTTGATTACAGTTAGTAAAGTCAGTGTAATTGTGGTACTAATATAGAATTTAGAAAACAATATTAGATTATTTACAGTAAATCACATTTTCAGCTGGAATGTCAGTTAATAAGTAAGCGCTTTTAAACTGCTGGAGCACATGAGCTGAAATGGTTGCTGTCGAGAGTGCTTCCTTCTTTAAGTGGAAATACATACATCAATTTCACTGGACAAACAAAAGTATTACTATGAACTGCATCTATGTCCAGTCTCTAAAGAACTTTCGACTGCTTTTAACTCAACCTGCAAGTTGAGACCTACAGAAAGCATTTGATGACAACACTCGTCACCAAGGAGGACACCGGCGCCCAAAAATATGGTTTCCTAATTCAGCCTAATCAGGCTAAATTGAATTTTTGTGGAGGATCGGAGGTGAAGGTATCTTCTGAAAATCTGATGAGCATGTTCCAGATTTCACATATTCAACATTTGAGTGTGTACAGTTTGTATCCACAACCACAGACATAGTAGTGTGTTTTGTCTACTATGCATGTCACTTGTTACAGGAATCCAATTCTCTTTTTTGTAGGTTTGTAACAAGTGAATATTAAATAAATAATGAAAGAATTAAGTGTAATCCTTTTATTTCTTTTGAATTTGTCAATCTGCTGTGTGAAACCCACTCTAATGTATTTTTTTTTCAGTAAATATTACATTTCTGAAAGAGCTGCAGTTTATTTTGTATGTTCATGTTTTATATGTTTTAAAAGTATCTTCAAAGTAAAGTAGTAATGTACTCTAACTTTTTACATGAAGTAATTAGTGATGTAAACAGATTACACTTTTCCATTAGTATTGTTTTCTAATCAGTAACTTGTATTGTTTCTTTTGATATTTTAAGTATCTTACCCAACACTGTTTATTTTATTTTATTCCATGAAAAAAGATCATCCTAATTATAAGCAAAACCCTGGGACTAAATAAACCCACGTACCAGTATATATAATATGGAAACCATTAAAACATTAATAAGCTAAGAAAACAAAACATATAAAAAGACCTGAGAAAAGACAAAGGCTCTGAAGGCAGAAAGGCAAGGAGAAATGAAAGCACTGGTATACTGACGAAGCGGGGTGAGAGAACAGAGCCGGGGCGAGCAGAAGAAGGGCAGCTTCAGAGAGGGAAATCCAGCCTGAGGGCCAGACGAAAACCCTGCTCTTCAAAGGCGACCCACTCACACACACCAACACTGGGGCCACAGAGAGGGGACTGATATATTGTTTACTGTAGTTCACCTACCCGCGGGCTCCTAGTGATCGCAAAACCACATCACAAACACACATACACAGAGACCACCGTCCTGCCACTTCAATCGCAAATACACACACTCAGTCACTTTTTCCTCTGCTTCTTTCATTTAGTGCCCTCCACTAATATTGGCACCCTTGGTAAATATGAGCAAAGAAGGCTGTGGAAAAAAGTCTCTTTATTGTTGAGCTTTTTGATTTTTTTGCTCAGAATATTAACAACAAAAAACTGCGTTCATTGAGAACAAACAAATGCAAACACAGCTCAGTTTTATCAAAACAATTATCTTTATTAAGACAAAACACTGCAGGCAAAAACATTGTTTTTCCATAAAGCATTTTTTTCTTTTTAAGCCAAAGGAAAGAAAACGTTTAAAATACACTTTTAAGTGTTTTGCATCAATTTGTGTCAGTTGATTTCTAAGGGCGGCGCAGTGGCTCACTTGTTAACTTTGTCATCTCACAGCAAGAAGGTTACTGCTTCAGATTTTGGATGTGTGGATCTGGTTGTGTTTATATACAGTGTTATTGCACCACCATTTGATGCACTAACATCCAAATACTTGTACTACACAGACAAAAACACCATCAAAACCATGTGGCAATGGAAAAACCCAACATAGGCTCATTTGAAGCCCTATATTGTATGTCTTTTTTGGAGGTCGCAAATTGTGTAGCCAGAGCTATGTATGGCTGAAATATATATATTTTTTAAATAAACACTACAGGGCGGTATGTTCTTTTCACGCTTACCAGGTGACCACTTAGCTCCATATGGACGGCTTTACTGCTGTTACCAGTTTGTCCCGTTAGCTTGCCATGTACGCTGGCAGACTTAAGACTCAGAGAGGAGTTGACCACAACCACGGGGTTCAAGTCCGGTGAAGAACGGTTCCAGAAAGACAAAAACAGAAGCCAAAAAAATAAAATAAACAAATAAATAACTGTGTGAGAACGTGGTCAAATCTGATAACATGGAAAAAGTTAGGTGAGGGTTTTTCTTTTTTTAGATAGCTTTTGAAAATTGTTGCTTGGGTTTAGAGAAGTTAGTGGGTGGTCAGTCGATCGGTCAGTCAGTATGTCAGTCATTCGATCATTTAGCAAGTCAGCAGTCAGCAGCAACAGTCAGTCAACAGCGGCCTCTAGTGGGTTTACATAAGAACATCAGGTGCGAATGGCACTCAAGAGAAAAATTTGAGATCTTAAAAAGCACACACAGAGGCCTCTGGTGGATTCGCAAAAAAAAATTTAGCTCCTGGGACGTATTTGGCACTCTCCAAAAATGTATACAGAGTAGGGTTGGGTCGACAGATGATGCCATCGTCCATCGCTGATGACTGATAGACATCACAAGCATTAGCATTAACATTTATATTGTCTGAGCCGGCATCTTGATCCTCCACCCTGCCCCCGTCACAGCAGCACATGCAAAAAAAACACATGCCCCTTTTTACAATAATACGTCTTAGTTTTAAAATCCAATTTTAAAACTAAAATGATCCACATCCACATTGGCTTTCACCTAGCATTTCTGAAAAGCGTTCTTCCAAACTATACTGCTGAAAGCACACATCATGTGACCACACACACTCTCTGTCACTCTGTCACTGCGCTGCAGTGTACTCGGGCGTCTGAGTTCCAGCAGTCGGCGGGTGCTTTAAGCACAAAACCTCAGAAAGCAGTGCACATCAGTTTATCAAGGATGAACAGCTGGATTGTGTCTCACTATAGTTGTTAATCGTGATATTTAATTAATCTTGTCTCTATCTAATGACTCTTCGTTCTTTTAGATCTATCAGGTAACCTGTCACAGCGTCAGTACACTGCTTCAATCTTTTGCTTTCATTCTTGTACTTAGTAATTTTAGAGAAAACCTCAGATACTGCTGGTTGTGATCCTTTTTACTAACCATGTTTGTCAACGCCATTATAACGGCACAGATCACCCTGCCTATTCATGCCAGAGTCCGGCGGAAAAAGTGATTTGTGTGAAACTTTATTAATTTATAATTTGGTTATGGGTAAAACAAAGACCATGTTGGTCAGGTAATTGAAACAGTAGGCTACAAACAATTAATTAATTATGAATTACTTAATTATTAATAAATAAATAATTCACTGCCGTCTACGATGACAATGCCATCGTCCATCATGTTTCACTTTTGACATCACACGATGTCAAATTGGTCAACATTGCCCGACCCTAATACAGAGGTACGTTTTCAGAATGAGCCTGGGTTGGGAAAGCCATATTATAAACAAAAGCTCTTTTCAAACTGTTTTTCTGCATGCAAAAAACATATTAAAGGATGCTAAGTTCATTCACACAGCTACTAAAATATGCTAAGTTCATTCACACAGCTATTAAACACTTAAGTGGCTATGAGAGAACAGTATAAACATTAAAAAAATGTCCATTTCTGCCACAAGGACAAAAATCAAGTATTTTCAGTCAATCTGGAACTGTTACAAAACCAGAATTGAATAGGTGGGGCAGAAAGACTACAAAAATATAATGCTACATCACAAACTGTTTTGAAATGTTTTCAAGAAAAAAGCCTTGACACTTATCCAAAAATGAACTCAATCTTCTCATCTCATGCTT